TGGCCTGTTTGCTGCTTCGTGTTGGCGTGGTCGCCGTCGACGAGATCTTTGATTTTTCAATACCTGCAGCCTCAGCTAAACCCATACATCAAAAGCAGAACAGGTGCGTAATTCGCAGCAGCTAGTATCAACAGGATCTGTGCTTTACCGCCAAATGTTACAGCCCACACTCTGCAAAGGGGGTGGCAAACTTTACAAACAGAACGGCAGCTCGAAACAAGGGTCTGAACCGGTGGGTGTGATCCAAGATTTTAAACATAGAAATTCACATAGGAGTCTATATGGACAAGCCTCATCTAATCGAATTTCATGTTCAAATCGCTCCTCAAAATTAGGAATTTCTGATTATTTCAGGGGTGGAACGTCAGAGGAGGCATCTCACATATCACACATTTTGATCCATAATAACATGATGGAATAAAGATTAAGTACTAAAGACAATAAGGTGTTGGAAAGTAGCTTTGAAACGTATGTCCAAACTTGTCTGCTATGATAGCCTTATAAACCCCTCTTACCCTTAAGCTGCCAAGACATTTTTTTTTTAACTACATTATCTGCTCTTTCCTTCTATTTTCTTTGTCATATGAATTGTTAGCTTGTGTAATCCAAAAGCACATTGCAGACCCCTTTAGATAATGAGGCCAGACAGATAGCAACAGGTGTGACCATTCTGAAAAGGCTCCTGTCACCTCTCACATGCCAGGATGCAAGTGTTCTTATTGTGAAGAGGAGTCTAATATCTAATCCTTCCCCACAGCTATTCCAAGACAATATGAAGCCGGCATAATGTAGAAATGTGCAATATTTAATGAGAAAGACTTTTTTTTTTAAGAGAGAGGGAATCGGTGTGTTATTGCTCTTATGAAAACTGACTGCACCTTTCCATTATTCACTAACAAGAGGATTTTAATTTTGGTCACTGAGAGAAGACTGTGTGATTTTGTCTTTTTTTATAAATATGTTTCAGTACCAATTCTCAAAAATGTACTTAAAGTTTAGGTTTTGTACACTACAAATAGTAGGGAGACCCAAATTGCTTTATGTTTGCAATGTGGGAGAAACAAAAAATAATATTAAATAAGACAAGTTGTGAAAATACAAGTGTTTCTTCAGGACAAGTGTATTTTCTCATCAAGCTTGCATTTATGTTGCACCTATTTTTATATAATGTCTCCATATCACCAACTGTAACAAAACAACACTTTTCTATTTTTACTCAGAGCTCTATTTTGCATAGCAGTATTCCACAATATAAAATGGTTTGCCTATTTAATTTAAAATTATTTATTTTAGTCATCTATCCAGAGTAGATAAATGCGTAAAATGCACCGAGCATTTTTTTTTTATCATGTCCAGGAAGAAGGCTTTGCTTATTTTTCAGGTCAACAAAAATAAAAATAAAAAATACAGATGATTAAATGGGTCGTACAAAACCATGCAACTATTTAAAGATTCTATAAATTCGCCTAAATTTGAGTTTTCAGCGGCAAAAGTGTTTGGGGCTATTAACTAAATTTTGATTAGGGGGGGATTTTTTTTTTTCCTTTTCTTTTCTTTTTCGCGAAATAATTAAAACTATTTTTAAGGGTTGTCCAGAAATCAATGCAGATGGTAATTTCGGGCTTATCCCAGGTATGCACAGGAAAGATAAGAATGATTAAATCCGCCGGCGCATTAATGAGTATGAGATGTAAAATAATCCTAAAAGGCATGGCAGAGTTGCTGCAGGAGAAGCCAAATGTCAAGTGCCATTTTATTTTATGGAGGATCCTTTTTTTTTTTTTTTTTTTAAAGGGACACGGTTCTTTCTTATCCAAACTGAGCCTTCAGAGCCTCTAAGATCTCATAGAGGAAACACAAAGCGCACAAGAGTAGCCTGTGCAGACAGATGGATTTGTGGGGGGAACACCATTGTCCATTTTGAGTTGATTTGGGCATGAAACTTGTAAATCCCTCCCCGGTACGTCTTATTTGAAAATTGCAGGAACAAAGCAATAGCTAAATAATAAAAAAAATTAATAATAATATTACATTTTTGGTTGCAGTGCAGAAAAAAAAAAACTACTCCAAAATAATACAACATCTGCATGAAACAATATTTAACACAATCCTACATTTATGATGAAAAAAAAGGCACCAATTTATCTGTAATCTGAGTGAGTTTACGTGGATATAATATGGAAAATTAACCGATATGATGTCTGCGTTTGGAAGCTGCTCTAAAAAAAACATTTGGTTAGTCATTTGGCTTGGAAATGAGAGGCTTATTTCTGAAGACGCTGATTTAGACTGCAGCTCGAATGCTGCAAATGAGACTCTTAATATCATGGCCATAATTAATTGCGCAAATTTGTTTCTATTAAATAAAACTAACACATACTGAGAAAACTCTATTAGCCCTAATTAAGCTTGATATCCTAATTTAGGGGGAATGTGTGGTTGAAAACAAGGCGTTTTGGTAGATTTTTTTCTCTGTCTTTCTCCGATATGAAAGAAGTAGAGGGGGGAAAAAAAGCCTACCAGCTTTCTGCCTTTGGGCTGCTTTTGCCTCCTTTGAGAGTTGGAAATGAGAAATGGAAATGGAAATACCAGGAGGTGCTAAATTAGCTGCCTGATCTGCACTTATTGCCGCATACAGGCCCCTATTACTTTGCCAATCTGTGCCTCTCTTTTAGCATTCCGGGCATGGAGAAGCTTCGAGATAGCAGATTTATCAAATGGGAAAATGAATGCATGATGATCAGTTAAATTGAAAATCAGCGTCTGCATGACAGCCCGACCTGACACCTCCGTAATTAGAAAGAAAAATGATGGCGTCCGATGCATAATAGAGCAAAAACAATTTACACTCTCCCATAATGATCCGGCGTTCAAATTGAAAATTTCTCCGGGTATAAATTGAATTCATAAAGTATGATTCATGGACGACACATCTCCTGGAGGCTGCCTGGGCATATCGATTGATAGTTTGTCTTGAATCATGCAGCGTGCAGCTCTCAGGCAAGAAAAGCTTAACTACTTAAGCAAATCGCTAATTTCACCTTAAGGCCACCAATGTGCAGCCAGCGATACTCCCCATTCAATGTGCTAATGAATTATGGATGAACTGGGCACACGTCCCAAATAGCCTAAGAGTAGCATTGGAAAGAAAAAAAAAAAATACACACCCAAGAATCTTAGGGGTTATTTCAAATCGGCCCCGGTTATCCCCAGAATTTAGGAAAGAAACCTTCTAAAGAAATGACAACAGGAGTTTTTTTTGGTCAATTCTCTGTCAAGGTTTGTGCCCAAATTGCGCAGCTTATTTTGAAATCATCTAGCAGGATTAATCAATATGGTGGAAAGTTGCACACCGGTGGGAGATTTAATATTAAATGAATTTTTAAGGCATGCACATGTGCACCATAAACACCATGCAGACACCTCTAACCCACAGCAGCCACGCAGGCCTAATCTTGCGCATGTTCCCTGCGTGTGCCATGTTGGCTGCGTCTGGGGCCACCACCCCCCACCCACACCCACCCACCAAAAAAAAAAAACCTAATAAGACATTGCTTCCTAGAGCAAACAGCTGCATGGGGTTGAAATTTATGTAAATATTTTGAAAGGGACACTGGCTCAGAAATTCATTTGCGCTGGCTCAGACGTAAAGCTCACCCCACTGATTATTTTCAATTTATTTGCAAATCAAGACCCAAAGAAGAACACTAAAGGGCTTGTGGATTTTTTTTTAAACAAGCAGCTCTACATATAGCTGGACTTGCATTTTTGTTGTTGTTGTTTGTGGTGATGGTGGTGTTTTATCCACCTTTTTTATTATTATTTTTTCCTTCGACTTGATATTGTGGTCAACACTGCTAATATTGCAAAGGGGGGGGAGAAGGAGAGAGAGAAAAAAAAAGAGGGGGTAGCAGATGTCCCAGATCCTGCACGGCTTCCCTGGGGACCACCAACCCTATTAGAACAAATGTGTTCTGCTATTGTAAATAGGCACGTTTGCCTCAGCCCGTCCTATTACAGCCGACGCATGATCAATAGGCTGATAACACAGAAACATCAATGTAAAGCGACAGAACAATGAGGGATATCATCGAACATCTATCTTAATATAGCCCTGCTACAAGGGGCCCTGACAAAGTGGAGAGAGAGAGAGAAGAAGAAGAAGAAGAAGAAGGAGAGAGAGAGAGGAGGAAAAAAAGCTCATGAAAATGCCTCCCCACGAATCCCCATCTCCTATCCAATATGCACAAACACACACACTCCCAGCTGCCGGGGCTATTATTTTCCTATTTCAATTTGACACCCAGGCCTTTTCATGCTAATTCTATTATTCTTGGAAGTTTATGTGATTTCATATCACTAGAAATCGGTAATGTATTATAACCCCCTTTGAGCTAAAATAAACTGAATCCCCCTGCAGTAGCCACCGGGAAAATAATTACTTTCATATCAAAACTCTGCAGGAGTCGAGCGGGTCCTTTTCGCCTCAGGCTCGTAACCTCATTTCAGTGGGGGCTTATAGATGAATAAATTTGTTAAGGCAATATACAAAGTACAACATGAGATTTCTTAAGAAAGCCTACTGTACTGTATAGTCCTGCACTGGATGTGCTGCTATTTAGGGTCTCACACGGTTGGAGGTGCTTGTATACAATAGATTTATTTAAGAAAAACCTTACATATATAAATAGTATAATACCTTTCTTACAGCTCTTGAGGATTTTTGTTGGTCTTGGTTTTTTTTTTTCTTTTTTTTTGACAAGTTATCACACATTAAAGGATATCCAGAGACTCCTGACTCACACACACACACACACACACTCGCAGATAGAGAGAGAGCACATTGTCAAAGTATCAGCAGAGTTGGGGAGAAAACCTAGAGATTAGATGCAAATATGTAGTTTCTGCTTTGGCCTAATGAAAGGTGTCGTTTAGAGGCTATATCAGTTTTTTTTTTTTTTTTGTTTGTTTTTTTTTTTTTTTTTTTTACCGCCACTGATTTATTCCATGTCGACATCTTCTTTAGAGTCTGTCTTTGTTTCTGCAGGACAGTCACTGAGGACAGACTCGAGGTGCTCCTTGCTCTCTAAATGCTCTTTTCTGTCTGCGTCGACAGCAAGTTGTGGACTGTGTTCGTGCGTAAAAGTCGACTCGCTGCAAATGACAGAGGTCTGAGTACTTTTGCCAGTGGAAAAGGCGGCCCTGGACGGGCTGGTGTGCTGTGTCTTTTCCTCTGCTCCCACCTGTCCCTTTTGTGAGGCGTCTGCAGGGTCCGGCGAGCCGCTCCTACATCCCGCAGAGCTCCCGCAGCGCGCACCGGGCTGGTTTCTCTCCGCCGGTGCGTCACAGTCCGCCGACGCCGCCGTCGTCGTGGTCGTCTTCAGGGCAGTTTGAGGAACAATGAATCCAAGCGGCTGTGTGATGGGATAGAGTAGGAAGTGTCCTTTCCCTATCAAAGGCCGTGAGGAGGGTAAGGCCGCGGGGTTGCGTCTCGGTCTGGAGTCCGAAAGGAGGCTCTCGACGCTAAAAGGGTTGAGCTTCTGCAGGCTGGACGCTCGGTTGCTGCCGGAGCACAGGCTTGACCGGTGGCTGGGGTCGGGGGAGTCCAGCTCGGATCCGCCAGCGTCCCGGTCCAAGTGTCTTTGGTTCTGGTTTTGGGTCTGGAGAGAGTGAGGTGTTTGGTCGCAGCTCGATTGGTTCCCCCCTACAGAGTCATAAGGTGGGCCAGTGGTGTGGTCACTGTCGGTCACATGTGAAACCCCGCTGTCGCTGTCTGATCCCGGGGTGTGAAATAAATCCCCAGAAAGGAGCTTGTTCTGGGACTTGAGCAGCCGGCGCTCCTGCTTTCGCTTCTTCTTCTCCAGCCTGTCCAGCTCTCTCCGGGCGATTTCCTCCGGGTCCATGGGCTCCCCGCTGCAGGTGGTGGGGTGGGCGTTGTGCGCAGGTCGACCCGGACCTTTCTTTGTGTTCTCCTTTTTCCTCCATTTGGCTCTGCGATTTTGAAACCATACCTGCAGATAGAGAGAGAGGGAGAGACAGAAAAGAAAAAAAAAACGAGTAAAAAAACGTGTGTAAAGTCTGTCACTGCAAGGGGAAAATTAATTAGGCCTGTGTCTTAACAATATGGTAATTAAACAAATAGCGAGGTTACAGCTTGCTCTTGCTGTTTTCTGTGCAGGGCCTTTAATTGGGCCTTTGATTAAATATGTGTGCATGAAGCAGCAAAAAGTTGGGAACAAAAGAAGCTGTGGTCAAGTATAGGTCACTGACAGCCTTTAGATCACCTTAAATATCCAAATTGAATTTTTAAAAAGAAGATAAAACTTCCACTTCGCTCTTATCAAAAAATATTCTCAGCAATAAAAAAGGTTGTCCATCCAGTTAAACTAATAGAAACTGTAAACACATGGACTATTGTTTGCCAATATCATTGACAAACAGATTTCTGAGAATTTTTATTTGATTTTATTTAAGAAAATGTGTGATTATTCTTGTAAAGGTGTAATTAAAATTGATTTATGTGGCTAATTTACACCAGTCAGACAACCATGCAGTGATATTTTATTGTAATATTTAAATGATATATATAAATAATATTTTAATATAACTCCTAATATATTTATAATAAAATGCAAGCTGTCCAATGCTACTTTAAAATTCATTTATATTTTTGTTAATTAAGAACTTAGCCCTATTGAATAAATAAAAAGTAAACAAAGACACACACTCTCTCTCACACACACACTCCAAGCTTCAAATCAGATGTAGAAAAGGAGCGAATATTTACCTGAACCCTGGATTCTATCAAGTCCAACCGCAGAGCCAGAGCCTCCCTCATGAACACGTCCGGATAGTGACTCTCATTAAAAGCCTTTTCTAATTCCTCCAGCTGCCAACCAGTGAAATTTGTGCGAGTTCTTCGTCTCTTGCAACCGGGGCTATCTTTGTCTGGGTCCCCCGAGTCTGACAGCAGAATAAATGTAAACAAAGGGTAAACATGTGTGCGTGCGTTGGAAGAGGAGGGGGTAAAAAAAAATAATTAATTAAATAAATAAATACTACATTTTGCTGCCCTTTTAACAGGATTGGTTTCGTTCTTGAAGCAAAGAATATTGCAAAGTTTAGAGGTGAAGAGGATTGCTCGTGTTTGGATTTGGATGCATGCTGCAGCTTCTGTGTGCAATCCTTTTTTTTTTTCCTGCTAAATTTGAAGGAGAAAAAAAGCCTCAAATGTTAACACAAGCATTCCTCCAGTCTGGTAATTACTCGACTGACATTGTTTTCTTATTTTCTTTGCATGCATCTTAGGCTTTCGTGATGAAAACGAAGTGGGAGGAGAAGAATACTCATCTGCGTGAGCCTCTTTAAACGCAACTTGTAGTGCAATCTCCTGCCTTTGTTGCTTTATGTGTTGTTTCTTTTTTTTTTTTGTCTTTGTGCAGCTATAGCCAACCTTGAGGAGAGGTTATTGTGCGGCGCATAATGTGGCTTACCTGTCAGTTTGTACTGCTGATTATCTCCATTCATCCCGCAGCCCGAAGACAAGAGGGGGTTGGAATTACCCACCGAAGCCGCGCACGAACCATTAAGTAATCCGTCTATTGAGAAGGGAACCGCGGACGCAGATTGAAGTTGATGCCCGGCTAATTCGTAAACGTGATGGTGGCTCAGATGGTACGGGAAGCCCACCATCCCGCCGAGAGAGCCTCCGAACTGGGCGTGAGGTGGATCCAGTATCCTGCTGTCCATCATCCCGCAGGCAAGAGGAAACGACGTCTGGAGGCCGGCGACGGGAATTTAAAAAGCATGCAGCGAGTGTGGCCAACGAGTAGGGGACATGATGTGAAGGGAGGGATGAGCTGTACTTTATCCACATGAACCTCCCAATAATTAGCCCGGGCTCTGGGAATATGAGACCCAATGAGAGGCGGTAATGGGCTCTGACGTCAGAGGCGCGCTCTGCAAACGCTCCCCGTATCGATTGCTAATTAAAGCTGACATCCACCTCAATAAACAATATCAGAGCTGTCACAACAAGACAGGAGGGCTTTGATAAGAACTACATCGCAACTACACGGGGGACCCACCGGGAGGAAGGGCTCACTGGATCCCGGGGAAGAGAGAGAGAGAGAGAGAGAGAGAGGGAGAGAGAGAGAGAAAAGGGGGCTACAGGCGATAGATTAAGCAGAGAAGCTCCTGCACTTTTTTTTTGTTCGCTGGAGGACCTGCAAATAGATAAATATTAGACTAGATTAAACCGTATTTTGCAAAGTTTTATTTGTTCAATCAGGATTTTTTTCCTTTTTTTTTAAAGGACTTTGGCACATCTTGGCACAACCTTTTTACGCATTGTGTGGCCCTTCCTCGCCCCCCTTGAATCCCACTTTGGGAGTTAAAATAAACCCCACATGTTAGTTATATGGCTCATCATTTAACCTTTAGAGTCAGACAGAGTGTGAAAATAGCACATAAATAAATATATATACAGGGTTGAAATATGGGTGTTTTTAAAAGGTAAGTGAGACATTGCTGCAAAGTCAAATTATAATATTTTACAGTTACAAGGCTTCACTTACGACCAGCACTGTGTCATGTGAGCAAAATATATGAGTGTATAAAGGAAGGCTAAAGAACAAAGACAACAAACTGGATAAGAAAAAAAAATAAGGGGGGAAATAAAGCCACGTGTGCGCAACATTTCACGTCAGGAAACAAAACTGGAGAGCTCCACACACCCCCCTCATCCCCCTCCCTGCACTCAATATGTGTCTAGCCCAAATCCTATCTGCTCATTAGGTTTTTCAAATAATTAATTCGACTTTATTTATCCCAAGTCTGGCGCTGTCATAATGTTAATCAGAGTTGAAATTTCGCACCCCACTCATTCCCTGACCCTTGGCACCCGGATTGGCATGTTGTAATAACCTGAATCTCTCAACAGAAGCTGCGATAATTGTTACCCTATTAGCATGCAAATTGTTTAATTAATATTATTATGAGGAAGTATATAATCCGCTCGTCACTTGACCCCCAAGCCCAAATAACAACCCTCTGTATTCCAGCGTGTAGCCCTACATTTTAATGAACTCCTCAGAAATGATCTCGCCCATTTATCCATCTTCCTTTTTCTTTTTTTTTCTTCTTCTTTAAGCAGCACTGGGCTTGTCTTTGAAGCGTTCCTCTCTCTTTGTATTTTAACTTTAATTTTAACGCATATGGACAAGATCTTATGAATAATTCCTCCCCATTCATGTCTTTTTGAACATCTAAAATTCAATAATTGCTTTTCGTCAATTCCAAGCATATATATAGGCTGTCCCCCCCCCCTTCCCTCAACACCACACCAAACCACACACACACACAACTCGGAGCTCAATGAAAAGCAGCCCTTGACACAGTCTCCAGAGACACTGCATTTAAATCCGTTTTTCTACAACGGGTGACATTGTCAGATTCTAGCTTTAATTAACCCGATAATAAGGCGAACAAGGCCAGCGTTCAGCCCGGATGCTGCCCCTTGTCTTGTTACCTTTTCTTTGGAACTGGCCCTTTTGGCAGCTGTTCAGAGGAAAATAATAATAATAATAATAACAAAAAAATAGATATTGCTCTGAGCCGTTTGTTGCAAACAGGACACATTGTCTTTACTGCATTTATGTATTGTTGATTGGAATCAATAAGGGCACAGAGGGGGCTATAGACTAATTGATTAACTTTCTGTCCAAGGAGATAAATTCCAGGACAAATAAGTGGCTGACAAACAACAACAGCCTTTTTTTTCTCTCTCTCTTTATGTGTTAAAAATATAACAAGTTCCACTGCTGAATGGGGATTTCAATAAATACAGAAACTTGCCCTTTCTAAAATAACTAATGCTTTATGACATTTTCTGCCATTTTTTCCCCTTCCCATTATTATTCCACTGCATGTGACAGTTTTTGACCTCAAGGCTTATCCTGTTGTAACCCTTCACCTCAAGCACAGATTGCATGATAAAGAGGCCTCTCCATCCCTCGGAGATGCTTTTTTTAATTCACTCCTAAGACTAACTGAGAGGTAGGAAGACTGGCAACCACAGGCTGAAACCTGGAAAGTGTGTTCCAGCAGGGAGGTGTTTCCTTCCACTGTGTTTGTTTCTTTAATAATTCATAGGAGTGTTAAATGTTGCTCTAATCTCTGAGGAGTGTTCTTAAAAGGTGTGCTGTGAGTCCACTGCTCACCACAGTGATGAATTAGGTGAAGGGAAACAGCAGTGGCACTGATGGATCGCACAGGAAAAGTTGCTCACACACAACTCATTCTTTTACTAATCAAGAGGTCAAATTGAGCAAAAAAAAAAAAAAAAAGAATTCCAGTCAGAGATTTTTGCATCCATCAAAGTTTCTTTTTGGGGAGCTAAATAATGTTGTACTTTATCTTCCCCTCCCTAAATAGCCTCAAGTCTCTTTAATGCCAACTTTTTTTTGGTGTGTGTTGTTTGTCTGTTTGGCTCCCAATAAGAGGATTTTGCAGCTCACCTGACTCCAGATAACCAGATAAGTGAAATCCATGCCAACTTAATATAGGTGTTCCCCTCCCCTTCCCCTTCCCCTCCACTCCCCAATAAAAAGACACAGGCCTTATCAACATGCCCATCCAACACTGATGCCTACTTTAGCAGCACAGAATCAAATTCATTTTTAATTAGGCAGGCAAATTAATAGGCGGCAGTTTAGGAGTTTAATTACTCAATTAACTTCACGCACGTTAATTTTTAACTATCTAAATTAGGTTGCACATTATTCGATTTGATGATAATTATAGAATTAAATCTAAATTAATTGTTTTGGATGATTTGGATGAACTAGATGCAATTCCAATTAAACAGCAGGGAGAAGGAGAAAGAGAAAAAAAAAAAAAAAAAGAGGAGCTGGTTGCCATTTTAAGCTCGCAAATCCTTTGATTCGATTTTAAGCAAGAAAACTCTGCCTAGAAATTTTTTCCTCTGATCCTACAAATTCTCTTCCCTCTCTAATCCCACAATTAAAAGTTTCCTCCCATCTAATTATCTGTAATTGTGCCGCTGTCAAAGTAGAATGGAGAAGTGAAAGCGATTGATTTGGACTTTTAATTCAGTTCATTTCTGATAGAAGAGAAAGTAATTCCCTTCAAATTACCTCATTCAATCCTGACACCCTAATGCCCTTCAAAATCTTTTTTTTTTTTTTTTTTTACTCCCCAGTATTTATATATTAAAAATGAAGCTAGAATGACTAGTGCCTCCTAATAATAATAACCAAACTTCCATTAGAATAATAATTTCATTTCAATTAAAACTGACTTATCACCTTTGCTAAAACGTGCTTAATATGCCGAAAATTATCAATGCTTGAAGGAGCCCAAACTGGGGAGTCTAATTGTAATCAGCAAATCAGAGGTGCTTGTCGCTGCCGTGCCTTTGCAGAGAGGCAGTCTCGGAAATAGAACTAATTTACTCAACTCCCCCGGGAAATCCGCTCAACAGATTAACATTTTCAAAATATAGTAATGATATAATTTGAGAAATGGTGACGCCAATTTGTGAGGAGCCTTTGTGCAGAATAATTTGCATTTTTTTTTTCTTCTTCTCTCTCTTCCTTCGCCACCGCCTGCATTTTGCCCCCCGTTAATTACAGCTCCGCAGATGAAGGGTGTGCTGTTTGACTCAGTGCTTATTATTCAACTTCAATCTAATAATTCAACTCTACAGGAATATGAAAAAAGAAGAGGGAGAGAGAGAGGAGGAAGAAGTGTATCCAAATTTTTTAAGCCATCCTGCGTATAATCCCAAATGGGTGTGGATGGCTGCAAATGTGAATAGATGCATGTAGTCTGTCTGTCTGCCTCACTTCTGTGCATGTGCAGGAGGAGGGGGGGAGTTGTTAAGCAACTACAAAAAAACTTCCCTGCAACACACTTTCCCCTCAGAGGGATGCACACCCTGCAGGTCAGGTGAGATTCCTAAACTTTGATCAAACTGAGCATAAAGTTGAGACAAGGCCACAGAAATGCAGCTATCCTAGAGAAACAGTACTAGTTGCTAGGCTTGTGTGGTTTATTTTGGTTGTAGCCAACTTGGAAGTGATGGCAGGATTGCTATAGCAGTCCCTCGCTGCTTCCTCACATTGCAAAGATCTGGTAGAGAGAGCAGTGACTGTACTCCTGGCCATCTGCTGCTGTACAAAAAAAAAGAGAGAGACACCAAAAACCCCAGATATTTACTCCAACCACACTGGAGCAAACAAAAAAAAAGCCAAGACAGCCTGTTCTGACACTAAAATACGAAGCCCGGTATGACATTCTGAAATGCATGTGCAACAAACTCCAAATGCTGTGGAGAAATATACACTTTGCTCCTCCTCAGATTGTGCGATCCACTTCCGGAGCAGCAAATGAACTTTAATGCCACATTCATGCATATCAATCATCCTCTTAGGTTAAATTAAATACCTACCTGCCTTAACCTTTAGGCAACCTTGACCCTGCATTAGAGTTTCACCACAAGCAAATCTCAAAAAAAAAAAAAAAAAAACTACTCAAGTGTGGATAAAAAGACCTGCTGTGCCCTCTAGTGGCTGTTTTGCTTTTCATTATTTGCTCAAGCGAGAGAACTGAGAGGCCAGTGAGTAAATTAAACCCAGGTCGAATAGGTTGAACACATCTAGACCCTTTAATATGTGACAAAAGACACATCTGCATTTTTGTCCGAAATAGGCAGTATTCTTGAGCAAAAG